GTTATATACTCTGAGGCTGAAAGAATGATGCCCGCAGTCGAGCCGGCTCTTCTGGAGCAGAAGTTTAAACGGATGTCCTCGGAGGTGACCATTCCTGGATGTCGTCACTAGAGTACTACACGGGTGGTTAAATTGAGGTTGTATTTGATAAACGAGGATCATGTCTCCCCGTATTCTACGGTATTCAGACGAACAGAGTCCGATAATCCGCAGTCTTTTACCGTAGGTCTTAGATTGACCATTTTGGTTGCTGTACTCTGCGGACGTTCAAGTGCCTTTTGGTTGCAAATCAGCCATGGATTACAATGCTGTATAGCATACTCGGTGTGTGGTCTAATGTATGCAGATAATAAACAAGGCAATAGGTCTGTTTCAAATGAACCAAAAACACGTTTTAGCAATCCAACGTGTTTTATAGCCTTTGAAGACGCTCTTGCGCAGTGTGTGGAACATCCTAGATCCAACTTGGACCAGACTACGTAAGCATCGATTGTCGAACACTGTTAAACGACGGGCTTCTTCTACCCGCAAATTCAATGTTTCACAACCGTAAAGCAGAGCTGATCATACAGTGGAGCAGTATACGCGACTTTTAAATTTTATTGACACTTCACGTCGCCGTCACAGCTGTTTAAGTCCCGCATACACTGTTTGAGCCTTGGAGATGCGGACGTTTATGTCCTTTGATGCGCTACCGTCGTTGGTCAAGCAGCTACCTAAGTACGTGAAGCAGTCAACTTCAGCTAATTTCTGACCGTCTAGTTTCAGAACACAATTTGGCGATAACCAGTCTCGTAGCATCACTTTGTAGTTTGAAGGTGCAAAGCACATGCCGAACGGAGCGACAGAACTTGCGAATCTATCAAGTGCTCTTTTTGCATCCTTCCCAGATTCGAAAAGGCTTACGATGTTATCAGCGTACTTCAAATTTCACAGCTTTTCTCCAACTTTCAATTCAATACCTACGTTTTGGAGACCACTAAGTGCGTCCTCCGTTATTTCGTCTACGACAAAAGTGAACAGGGACGGCGAGAGAGGGTATCCTTGACGAACGCCGCTGCTGGTGACGAATGACCTACTTAGTTCATCATAGGCCGTTACACGACCGGAGGTCTGTGAGTAGAGTGACCTCTGTAGGTTAACGTACTTTCGGGGAATTCCTTTTCGAAGAAGGCAGCCCATCAGAGCCTCACGGTCAACTGAGTCGAAGGCCCCTTTTAGATCGAAAACACTGTGATCTTTGGTCGCAGTGGGTGTGACGCAGCTCGAGGACATGGCGCAACGTAAAAATTTGATCAATACATCCACCGCCAGGCCGGAATCCAGCTTGCTGCTCACGGATGTTGGTCTCTCTTAAAGGCGTCAGACGTCGAAGTGTGACCGAGACTAGCACTTTAGTGACGATTGGAACCAAACTGATCCCGCCCTGGTTTTCGCAATCCCTGCGAGATGCTTTTTTGAAAATTGGAACCATCAGTGATTCGCCCCAAGATGAAGGAATGCGCTCTTGCGTTCAAATATTGCCCAGTGAGGTAGTAATATAGCTTACGAGGTTATCACACCCATCTTGAAAAGAGTGGAAGGGAGCTCATCTGGTCCTGCTGCCTTTCCTCGCTTCAGAGCCTGAATGCAAGATCGAACTTCTGCTTCTGCTGGGGAATCGTACGACACTGCCCACGGAGCTTCAGTTACAAATAAAGTAACCGGGCAAGCATCAGACCAGTTGAACTGTTCCCTGAAGTATTCCACCCGTTGTAGATGCCATCTAACTCTATTTTGCTCCTGTCAGATCGGGCTTTGTCGTTTTTTCTCCATCAGGGCTACTGACTCCTGAGATATCCAATGCCTCCGACGGGTTTGAGGCTCAGATCCACAAGGAACATTCGCTGCGGAATGCATTGCTGGCCTAATCTGATCCAACTGCTCAGTTACATCATCACATTGAAGCTCGCTTAGCTCCCACATTAGCTCTGATTCATAGCGTACAGGAACAAACAGTTGATGTTGAGCTATACGAGTTTGCTGAATTCTTCGCCAGTCAGTCGGAAAGTGAACTACATCAAAACTAATGCGTGATCAGACCCAACGCAGATGATCCAATAGGACCTGAAATTTTGCACTGAGCCATGCTAACGGTAACTTAATGCTATGTGGTCGATTTGAGTTAGCCTACCAGTTGAACTGGAGCTCCACGTTGTCGTCCGTCGAGAGCTGTGTTGGAAGTTGGTGCTTGCTAGTTACAGATGATTGTCTGCGCAGAACTGAAGAAGTCGATCGCCGTTATCTGTTCGTCGGCTGGGCAGACCACAACTGCCGCGTCGACACATTTCTGATGTGCCCAGTTTTCCAACCTGTGCGTTAAAATAACCTGCGAGAACAACTATATCGGAGCTTCGACTCGGCCGCATGAAATCGATGAGGTCGTCGTAGAAAGTGTTCTTTTGGGTATCAGAACTGCGATTGGTCGGTGCGTATGCTGATACGATGAATAAACACCTTTTGGTGTTGCTTCCCTTCCGGACGCTGATTGAACTCTGGAGACGCACATAAACGACTGTTGACGGGGATCCAATCGATAAAGGAGGACTCTGCCCCGTTGCTGAGTAAAATCTCTACCCTGCACTGACCTGACTTCATCGTCGCCTGCGTGAAGAACGTATCTGGAAGACAAATCTGGCCCAAGGGGCTTATGGCATTAGGGTCGAGTTTGTGACACGTAGCAAATATCGATCCCTAAATATCCCATTGTACGCGCCAGAGAAGCTTGTTGACCCACCTGCATCAGGGTCCTCACGTTGTAGGCCCCCAAATTCAGTGATTGACGAGGCTTTAGAATCTGCAATTTGTTTCGAGATACATTAGTTACAGTGCTACTTGGCAACGACCTTTGGCGAGCGACATCCAAGTTTCTTGAAGGACTATTACAGGTTGGAAGGAGGGGCAAATGGAGAGGGCGGGGTCCTGAAGACAAAGAATTAAGAAAAGATTGGGGTAGGTTGAAACTAGCTACTTGGAGTGACAGGTAAGAATTGAGCATTCAGTGGAGTCCAGGGGCAGATATGTTACCTTTCGGATACGATAGAGCCTACTACCGCAGGTGCTACTCCACTTACGCTCCCCATGCACTCTGTTCGTATTGCCTCATGCCAGATTACAGTTTGACCCTGTTTCACCTTCTCCCGCCCACCACCTGCCTAGGAAAGCATTGGACTATGAAGAAACCTACCCAGTGGAGTGCGTAGCACATGCCCTAGCCGTCGATATGATGTCTGATGTCTTTTACTTTCTTTTTTATGTATTGAATATACAAATGTGCAGTCCACATTCAGGAAGGAGAGCGCGCCAATATAAAGACTGCCGGGGAAAATACAAAAATGGGGAAGACAAGCGACGACGGAGCAGTTCAGGCTCGGGACTCCCAGGTCAGAAGTTGGTGCCCTAACCACTTGGTCAAGCACTCACTCACTATTTTGGTTGAGAACGACAATGTTCTTGCCTCTCTTGGTGCTGGATTGTATCGAAAAGATTTTGGTTTATTAGGAAAACGTGTTGTATAAATGCATATACAGTTTTAGTGAAATCTGATGTTTACCCGTTTTGTAAATATCGTTATTTCTGGGTACTTCAGATGAAGTAGATGACAAATGTTCTGTCAGTAGTGAGAGTGACTGGAAAGATGAGTTATTTGTCCTCATGAACTCATTTACTTAAATGGAATTTATTTAACCAGAGATCCAAGTGACTAGAATTAAAAGCATGCAAACAAAAATGAAGAAGTTTCTATTACCATAAAATTTAAGAAGGTAAGCTTGCGAAACTCTAAATAAAAGGTTAAAATCATCAGTAAATCGTTTAATACAGCACAGGTTTGGAATGAGCCGGTAAATACACTCTTTGCTCTGTATATGGGCAGAGTTATGCTGCTTCTTATAGTGATACTGATGAAATACATTTAAATCAACCCTAACAACACATGGGTTTCACACCAAACCATTTCCCCTGAGGTTACTGATCAGGAGTCACAGTCAGTAGGATTAAAGGCTGAAATTGTTCGAGCGGTGGATGTTGATACAGCCAATACCTTTACCGTGGTCTGACAAGCAATTCTATTTCTCTCTCATCGCTGGCTTCCGATCTATTAGCCAGTGGATGGATTTTTCAAAAGAGGATTTTCCATCACTGTTTTTTAAACATTCATAGGATCTTCCCTTTTCCACTGAATGTATGTGAAACGTTTCAAAAGTTGCCAAGTCATTAAATGACAAAAGGAGAACGCCAAGTTAATTTGTCACAAGTAATTTCTGATGGTGCTTGAACTAGACCCTACAACCGAAGTTTAATAGCCCCCCAGATATTTGCAACATCGTTTCTTCCGAATGAATCACATTCATCACTTTAGGCTATTTGTACAACATTCAAATTAAAAAGCCATTTACGGAATTTCAAATTTCTAGCTGGAGCTAAACGAATATTTGATCAAAATTGTAAAATACAATCTTAACGGATGTATCGCACCTCCTCTGGTTCTAAGAAAACAACGCTCCACGGTAGAATCATTTCTGGAAGGACTGTTTTACGTCCGATCCTGTACGCGTAAGCCTGTGACAGAAAGTTTACGTAAAGAAAATGCCATTGCTTGAATCTGATTCTTGCCTTGACCTCACAGTGACTTAGAAGTTTGATAATACCTCAAAATCAGCCGGATCAAGTTAATCACCATCACACCCCAATGAGCTTCCACTTATTAAAGGATCGTGAATCGAAGCCCTTTACGAAATGAAGAGATAGTCAAACGGTGAAAGTGGTCAGTGTCTAGTTTGTCGCAATGTATTGGACGATTATAGTAGAAGAGAAAAAATACCAATATGTCAACAAAAGGAAACTTTCAGAGAAAGACAAATCCAGGTTGATATGTTTGGTCTCCATTCTAAGAAGTTGTACTTCAAAATTGTTATCTTTATTTGGAATAAATGTTTCAACTTGAACATTAAAACGAACTCTGGGTAAATATCATGGATTACGCGTGAGCAAATCAAAAGTAACATAGTACTCACAGGAATTCAAATAGAGGCCTTTTCATTATGGACTTACACTCATAACACGTGATAAGAAAAGTGGAAATTATCCTGCTATAATGATGAGTGAAAATTGTATTTTAACGGATCGCACGAGTGAAAATACCATTAGCATGGTTTTAGAAAACACAAACAGTAGCTTCGATGAGAGATGAATAAAGGGTTATTGTTTTGGCTCACGGTCCGAGCGACCTCGTTATTCGGCATGGCGTTGAAGATTGTGATAATAAAGCTCAAACGTTGCAATGCCATCTGCCGCTGTGATTGGCGTACAAGGTTTAGGTCAAGGTCGGAGTTCCCAGCTCAAACCTGTACAGAAGCTGCCTATCGTTTCGCTGTATGAATGGGATGCCTTGGCCTACTTGCAGCCGAGATCTCAACCCAATGGAGATGATTTTGAGTATTCTGAGCCAAATGCTATGTCCCAGCTCTAGAAAATATGAATCAAGGAACGAGCTATAGGCAGTCAAAACAGAACTGTCTGTCTGTCGACAGGGAATTGATCCGCAAACTCAAAAGATGCATCGAGGTTTTGAAGAAAAAAAAGCTCGCTCTGCGTATTATTAATATGTATCAAACTTCACGCGATATTATTTCACATTTTCTGTCATATCTCCTTTTTATGGAAAGCTAAGAAGTTAAAATTTTGTATTTAGGCTTTTTTACTTGATTTCTGTAATTGCTTTCAAAACTGGTTATGGCGGCTTTCTTTAGAAGTGAAGATAACGAGAGTACCTAGGGGTTAGAAAGTTTTACGGGGAGTGTATATGTTTATCATTAGTTATAGAGCAAACAGACTTCAGTAATTATGAGCATTGTGGTCCAGTTCAGTTGGAAGTTGATTATTGATAGTCTTAAATCTCTGAAATGGTGCTTAACAGTATTGTTTTCAATATTGGACACATTTAAGCACCGTCACTAGGCCGAATTTCCATTATTATCTCTTAGATTATTTGTATTGATTTGCTAAAGTTAGCTACCCGCTGGTGACGGTGATAGCAAATGGTAACAATACTAATAATAGTTTTCATTCGTGAAAGGAGAATATTTTATCGCCAATAAAACTCCAGGTGACTTTGATTAGGTGTCAAATTTCAGCGGATGGTGTTTCAAACAATTAACTTCAATCCCATCTTTTTTGTATTAATGCCGAAAGTGGAGCAAACTGTTATTTCAACATGGAACATCCCACAATCCTCCAATCGTCACATGCATCTCATGCCTCGTTTGTTAATGAATGTGCTGAACGGATATGATTTGATTTTTAATCTCACTTTGTTTTGTAGATGCTCACTTGGCATTAGATCAATTGGTGGAATATCGTAACCACTTAGACAACCGGCTCGATGGGTCGCTGATTTCTGCATTGAATCGGCTTATGAATGTTTTCCAAAGCCGTTTATTCCTGGCCCTGCTCGGTAAGCCAATGTTTCAATGTTTCTTTGCTTACACCGGATATCAGTTTATGAACTCACTGTTTACTATGGACGAGTAAAACGGTTGAAAGACTGTTTGTGATTTCTGGGAACTCATCAAACTACGAAGTCTCTTGTTTCACGGTTTGTGCGTTTTCCTTTTTGTCAACACTGTTGAACCTTATGGGATGAAGCACTGAAAACTCCTGATGCATCAACACATGTTCATTTGAAAATCCAAGTGTGTACAGTTTGAAGGCATGAGTATCATGAATAACAGTATTTCGGTTGGCCACCTTCAAACATAGATCCATAGTATCCCAAGTCACTCAGTATCACTGTGCCCACTTATAGGCTGTTAGCTGAGCTTTCCAATGACCTTGGTCATACCTTTGACACTTTTGTAGTCGTAGGGTGACTGGCGTGAATCGGACTAATTCAGCCTTAATTGTTTTGTAGTAGAGTTGGTTGGAAAAAACAAAACAAACTGCTGAACAAATTTATGCATAAATTAGTTTATTTTGCATGGCTTCTGAAAATAATTTTATCCTGAAATAATGTTAATGATCACTCCAAGAGGATTCATCCCAACTCTCTTACGGTTTCCGAAGAAATCAAATCTTTCTTCCCCAGTAAGAGATCTAACAGATATTCTGGTTTTCTTCGAATTGGGAAAAGATCGGCAACCTCGGCGGTATTTGAAACTCAAGCATAAACGCTGGCCACGCAACGGAATAGTGCACATTCTACCAGCCGAACTACGATACAATATTGACAGCACTGATATTTTACATTTAGGTCATCTAACTCATTTCCTTAACTATGTTTCTATCAGTTACCTAGGTGTCTAATTTGAACAGTTTATCCAGTTGTTCATTCAATGAATTCCCAGGATTCTGAAGAAAATCTGTAGGGGTTTGACGGCTACTGATGTGGTCAGTTAGCTCAGCGGATAAAGCATTCACTCTCAAAAGCTTGCTGTTCCAACTCCTACCGAGTATATTGATCTGTTCACAATCGAAACACAAAACTTTTCTCGTTAATTATCTACTCAAGTTCACATGGATTCGTATACTATATTCCAAAATCGTCTTCAGTCAGTAGACAACCCGTGTTCGGAAACAGTTGACTGGTTAATCACGTTTTTCTCCCATTGTTTTGGTCGTGTAGATATTCAGGACTTCTACGAGTCAACTTTATTGGATCCGAACAAGAACAATGAGGAGAAAACCGCAGCCGCTTTGGATGTGGCACTCAGATGGGAGAATATATCCAGTCCTTCATTGGTTGCTTCCACAATCGACCTGCGGCGATCGAATTCGAGCTATAATCTCAGTTCCTTTGATCGGGCCGTAAGTTGTTACACATGTGTGATTGCTGCGCCGCTCCATTTCTTCGAAGGCTAATGGTGTATCACGAACAGTTTAGCACTCAATGTAATTCCCACATTTTATTTTCACTTCAATAGGATCACGTTCCTTTTGACCATGCCATCGATTATCATGTATCAAATAAATAATATACGTACAAGGTTAACAAAAACCGATGGCAAACAACACAGTTTCCAACATCTTCACTATCCTCTTCTCTCGGTTGACTGATTACTCGACTTTCTCCACATGTCGAGTATTTACGGGCAGATACATTCGAATAACTAAGCTTTTTTTCAGTGTCAACTTGATCAACCATTACCTAGCACTTTGATGCGGTGACTTTGATTACTGTCACTCAAGTACTTGTATGATCAATCACTGAGGAAGGCGTGAGTGAAGAAGTAAAAGGTTGAGAGTGCTATCAAGAAAAGGATACCGGATGCAGATTGGTGTGTACGTAATTGTAAGAAAACGCAATAAACTGGTAACTCCGTCTATAAGTACAAAAAATCCCTACAGTAAGCATTTGAGTAAATACACAGCAGTCTAGCAGGCGAATACTGATGGCAACCATAGGTGTTTCATGCAGTTAGGGAGCCGTCAGGTAGAATAATCAGGTAGGCAGCAAATCAATGAACACGGATAGCTCACTACTGAAGTCGGATTGGCTGAATTGAATCGATCTTGGCATAAACCAGGTCGGCATGACTGGTGTACGTACATGTGTGGTAGGAATGGGAATTGGGCAATCAATCAATACAGCCTAAACATGTGCGGTAAACGTTTTGATCGATGGTAGGTCACTACAAAGGTAAAATTTATATGCGTAGAAAGTGAGTTGGTGCACAAAAACCTCTGTTTACAGTACTTAGCCACAGCATCCAGTGTCTGTTCGATTGATGAGTTTGATCATGAGGTTGCCAACTGAGAAACCTACCACTAACTACATGACTGTGCAAAATATTCAAAATATTCAAACCCTCATTCACTCTTAGTTTGGACATTCTTGTCCTTGCTCGCTAGGAATGCTTACACAGTGAAATGGAGAACCATGCCCCAACCGTTACAATCTGTGGTATTTGGTAACTTGCATCTGTGCAATCTGGCGGTCATTTATTACTGTTCGCTTGACTGGAGATCTGAGTCTAAATTTGGCACTACATTTGCTGTGGTTCTATCAGATTAGTGCGATTTCGGGCAGACAACAGTACTGGAAAACCGATTGTCTGCTTGTATACTTTGTTCGAAACGGCCATAACTCTGAACCGTTTAGGAATTCCACCCGAACTACTGTAAGCAATCCAATACCATAGAAGACTCGCGATTTGAGTTCTTCATTCACTTTTCACCGAATGACTCGGTTGAAGCAGTATCTATCCACCTCATGTGAACATCTTGATCGGGAGTAAATCCTAATGAATTTGCCAAAAGAAATATTAGAGCTGGTCAGGTTTGAACTGTAACACTTTACTCGAGAAACCCGATCAAATCGAATTCACACTGACGCGGAACGCCACCGTTTTGATCCGGGAAGATGGATATTAATTCCCGAATTTATAAAAATGAAGCAATACCTATCAATTTTCTTGATTTTTCGACTAATTGCAGCTTATTTGCCAACGTTTTATTGTTTGTTGAGAATAAACTTCGAATTAATCTAGTTTTGTTTACGTTTTTTCGGCGGGAAATATTTGGGTTTCATCGAAGACAAATACTGCAGATTCCAAATAGCTTGCTTGCTGTTGCCTGTGATTTCCACCACATCCACCTATCTTGCACATTTCTGTGATGCCACAGGCAGCCTTATTGTCATCGCAGCCTCCTCCTGGAAGTTGACTGTAAGTCTGTATACTCAACACAGGAAAAAGGAAATAAAATAATAATTATAATAATAGTTCTTATCAATAATATCAATGTGTTACAAATAATAATGTGATGCAACATTGGTTTACCATACCATGGGTCCGTAGCCAATGGATTGCCTACTGATAGCAAAGCTAAAAGCTACCGAGCGCATCTCCAAATCACAGATAAGAGAACGACCATCTTGGTGGTTAAACGTGAATAGGTGAGAGCCACCCCACTAAATAATCGGCCGTGGACGTTGAACGGGTATCCTCAAGGAAGTAGTGGGGTTTCCGGTGGACAACCAATATCCATTTTTAAAAGCCCTAATTTTCTGCTTACAGCATAGAGACTCGTGCACGTCGTGCACGTGGACGTGGCACGTCACCGAGTAAGGCCATTGATATTTGCCCACTCACCTCGGTGGGACAAGGGTTGAGAGGTGCGTACGAGCTAATCAATAACTAACCACTCTCAGACCTCACGGACACGTTGGGGATCCTGGATTGGCGCAGTTCCATTCGAAAGGCGTGTGAACCGTTTTGCCGATCACCGGCTACCAACACTATTCCACCCTCTTGCCCTGTAGATCAATTAATTGTGTAAGGGTTAGAGGTGCACCCCAGACGTTGGGGAAGTCACTTAGTACTTCATCCCGAAATTTACTCATGGACTGTCCTAAAATGAAACATTACGTTCATGCTAAAACGTTCCAGCGACGCGACGCGCCCTGAGCTGTTCCAGTAGCCGGGGCAACACATTAGCTAACTGGAAACCTAAGTTATGTAAGCAACAGATACATCATACATGAAGTTTGCTAGAATGTGACGAGACATCTAGACACAGGAAGTCGATGCGTTGAAGTACGTTCACTGTACGATTAGGAACTAGATATCTACTGTCTTCCCGAAGTCCGATTGCCTAACTCTGACACAAAACAAATAAATTTCCCTCACACAGATTCAAGATACCGGTTATCCCAGAGTAGACCAACTGAAAACTCCAGATTGCATGTCGTGGCAGTCGCCACTAACCGATATAGTCACTTCACTGAGAAACAGGAAGGTACCAGGAAAGGATAGAATGCCTCTTTAACTATTCAAAGCTTTGCCTAAAACTCTAACGGATCCGCTCCAGTCTTTCATTTCATTTCTTAAGGTAAACTATTTCCAGGCTGAGCAACTTCAATTTGAGTTTCCATTCCCAAAATGCAAAAACGATAAACGATATGGATCTCACCAATATTGTGGCCAAGTTGTTTACGGTGACACCGCCCAGCCGCTTTTCAGCCTCCAGAGATACCCGAACCCGCCCGAACCAAGGGGAGAGTACTTAGCGGAAGACGCCGTGTAGTATCCTGGAACACCGCAACACAGTCCAGTAATTCAATACAACGTTTTCAAAGACATCCGCGCTACTTTTGAGTTTGCCGATAAGAATCCTCGTGACGCCTGTTGTGGTCCAACGGGATACAAGAGAAATTCATCTAGTTTTTAAGGTCATCTTACACAGGGAATCGGACAGGCAATCTGACATACAGAGGACAATCAGCTGAAGTTACATTAGGCTCTGATGTCAGGTAAAGCTATCTCCTATTACACGCTGCCGTGGACGGCGTTGCCGACTCGATGCAAGATGAAGGGGTATTGCAATCAAGTTGGGTATGAAATGATTGGGCCTCCAATCAGTATATGGATCTAGTGACTTAAACCAGAACTAGATCCCACATTCCGCTGACCTTGCCACCGATCGCCACTTGTGGTCTGCCACTATCAGGGATAAACAAGAAGCCGACTTATCCTCATGCAGTAGTTATTAGCTCAAAAGTTAAGAAGATTTACTATATTAACTCTGTTTTATAACAGAATGGAAGTAGTTAGCAGTATTGCTTGTTATGTTTTGATGATGGGTTGTTACTCCTTTCTGTGTCCAAACGAGAGACAGGCATCTCAGGTTGCTTAGTTTGCCTGTTTTATGGACCTCTGTTCAGTACACATACGTCCATCAATGCACCTACCATTCCATTGCGGGAGAGAGAAAGAAGCAAATACGCGGACGTAAAAACTAGACACAATAGAACTGATATGGTCTCCGGAGGATCATTTAGTCTATCACCGTTGGAATGATTGACTCCTGGACCGGTCTGCTATGTTTGCTACCAGTAGGGAGGAGTTCTATTTTTTCGGATCGTTTGCGGTATCCTCTATCTTATCCTGTTTGTTAGTGATCAATGAACAGCGTGCGTATGATCTCTTGTAGCGCATGCGGATACTGGGACAAACGGGTTCAACTCCANATCCACAGTACCGCTGTATCTGCTGGTATCGTTTACTCAATAACATGTTCGGATTCCACTACAATGTGTGAGGATTAATGAAACACGTCGGTGTTGAATGCAATTGTGTGTTTTACTCACCCGCACAGAGGCAAGCACTAAAGAAATTCATAATCAACCTCTTGTTACATTGATTCCATCTCCAGCCATCATTTAAAGTAAAATACCTCATCCCATAAGTTGCACTTCTCACAATTACAACATTCAACGCGACCTAATGCCTTTTTTAAATTACGGGTGCGTATGTAGATTTCTGTCTTGCATCATTCTCAAACCAGAAGGGGGAGATCTCGCTTGTTGTTTTTAAGTTGAAACCTATGAAGCTCTTGAGCACGTGTTCAGTGGCATAAGAGTTAGGGCTGATTTTGTGCACTCAATATGTGAAATGAAGAGAACAATGCATTGGAACATCGTACAATGTAATTGTTCATCAATTTTTATTCTCTAGACCAAAATGGACCATTTACTTATTTAACAATATCATGTTAAATGAGAATACTGATGTCCTGAATTTTTGCACTACCCGACGGTTACTTTTAGTTTCGAGTAACGTTATGATATTTGACTACAGTACTTAGCCAGAGGCTGCTTAAGAATTGTTTGTGTGCGGGCGGCGGCGGTGGTTTTGGTGTTGTTGGTGATGTTGATCACCGAAAATCACCCGGCAGGTCGTTTGTTTCTATCCCATCATCACTAACTAACTGACCTCTTTACGTTGTTTCCTATAACTACTTCCTTATTCCTTAAAACGCATTCAAAAAAGAAATATGAATAATAAAGGTGCGAATAATGGACTTACTTACTGACAGTACATACTCTTTCATACAAAAGTGTGTACTATTTAGTATTATATTGTGGTCTTCAAAGTTGATCATTAGTTGGTGTCCCGGTAATCATGGGTTACTTTTATCAGTGCAGGGTCACCATCAACTTATTGATTATCAAATATTTGCATTTATCATTACACCTATCACGCATTGTTTTTTCCGCTACTCTCCCTATGCGAAGTCGATTCCGATTTACTATAGATTCTGTTGATTCTGGAGGCGGTGGGTGTCTGCAATGCACCGTTAATTTCCGCATCTCGTTATATTTGAAAATAAAATAAAGGAGAAAATGAAATTTGCTGGCGATCATCGGTTACATTCATAATGTTTCCGAATGCACCGTGGTTTGCATGTGACTGAACACAATGCATTCACAACATGTAACGAACTAATATTAACATCATCTTCGACTTTAACAGATCTATTCCGGCTTTACTGTGTTCAATAATTAGGTCTTTACTGTATCCATTCATGTACGTCATGTTATAAGGGGAAATGTGTGGATTAGATTGATTTGGGGCTTTGTGATTAAGAACAAAAGTTAACTGTGGTTGTAAGCCTATGTTCTCCTCATGTGTTAGCGCTCTTGAGACTGATTTGGATTTCTTCCATTTCGTAATGTGAGTTCTCCTAGTTCGAGTGGATGATTTCTTGTGCCTGAAAGTTGAGAAATTTTCCTTTGCAAGCTTCACTCTCGGTTTACAAGGATTCTTTAACAACCTAATTAACAGTGCATCTTGGATGTAAAATCAATTGTTTTGGTGCGGGATTTATCGATGGTGTTCAAATTTGTCACGAGTTTTGGAATATATCAGATAACAGATAAGCGAATATTGCACGAAGTATGACGTGCAACGGACATGCTTTGGGTAGGCTTACACCCTGAAGTAATAGAAGGCTATTTGCAACGGTGTGTTGAATAATGATAATTCCCAACTACAATGCCCTTTTTGGTTTACCAATCGTTCTTCAAAATATGTACACATATATGGCAATATTTTTGCTTCACCAGAGGCTTTCAACTTCGCGATTCCAATTACAGCGTTCGCTATACCAGATCAACGTGACCGGCGGTTTGGAAGGCGAGTCGATGAACTGTTTTGTATCCAACACACATCAAAATAATTACAGAAACCAAGTGGGCAAGTTACAACGTGAACGATCTCAACGGCACCAAAGCAATTCCACTTTGTCGTTTTCTATGCCAAACTACTCTCCCTCTATCCATTCTCCGTATAAATGGACCGATTACAGTCCCCCAGGGCTAGTTGAATCGAATCATCGTTCTGGAATCACTTATTCAACGGAATCCGGTGTCTATGACAATATCCGTGTGCCCACTCCGGACAAACAGATTCCGTCAACTAGACCGGTGGCCAAGCCACGTCAGCGTCGTCTGCGCAAGATAAAAACGGCCCCTTTAAATGCTCGGTCAGATCGACAATCAGCACCGCATTGGACCGGAGACGTGGATATATCGAAATTGTCTCCGAGCAACCAAAAATTGACCATGGAGCAAACGAATTCAAACCAGTTGCTGGACGATGAAGACGAATCGGTGAATCCGCAATGGGCCGGTCTGCTCAGTCATTTGCCCATCACAACCGAAGTGGTTATTCATAAGACTTCAGAAGGTTTTGGATTTAGTATAGCTGGTGGACGATCTGTGGGTCCGGATGGAGTGGAGATTAGTACGGACATTTTCGTCACACGAATCAATCCAGGTGGAGCTGCAGATCGAGATGGTGGTCTACAGTAAGTTACGTTCTCGTATGAACTGAAACAAATGAAGTAAATCCTTAGTAGTTGTACAGCGTAACGCAATCAGCCGAACAAATTATCAAGTAAAAGTGTTTTTTCCAGTGCTATATTTGGAGTTGATTTGATTGAACCCCGGGTTTTAAACAAAATTTTCTGCTGTTGTTCATCGTATTGTGACATTTCATAACAAATAAGTGGATGTAAATGGGTAATCCAGCGTCTTATACATTCAATGATGGGTTCAAATAGGGCTTAAGTAGTGGACCTGTGTTCATAAATTAACTATTCGGTTCGCATGACTAGAGTGACCTCAACTTCAACCGATTTCAGCAGCTGTTTTTCCACTTCGATGAAGAGCATTTTCAGCATGGTGCTGCTCCTTGCTATTTTGCCATCGAATACGATGTTTAACGAGCTAGCAAACAAAATACAACACGGAAATGCACATGAGTTTTGGGAGGCCAATATATCTCCGTCCTGGGCATCCCTAGTGAGGACTACTCAGCGAAACATCGTTCTAAGGAAGAAAAGACAAACTGACAGTTCACTTGTGTTTGTTCCGTTTTCTTTGAATGGGACAAAGGGTTCTAATGACGGAATTCAGTGGGCAGTGGTTGTTGGAGAAAATGAGCGAGAAGTGTTTGTAGGGATGGAAGAGTTTCCACGATTAGCGTAACTAGACTCAGAAAGTTGGTTTAACTGGCATGTGAGACTGTCTTTGTGGATCTGCGAGTGATTTGATTATTCTTAAAACTTAAACCGGGAAAATTAATTGATAAAAGGTATAACAAACGGGACAGAATGCAAAGGATTAAGAACAGATTGCCAGATACGAGAATTTTTCATTCTTCACACAAAGCCAATTCGCTTTGTTTTTCGCTTTGTTTTTTTTAATATGAGAACATAACGTAACATTAGAGGCGGTTGTCTCTGAGGCTTACAAACCCCGTAGTCAGGTGACATTGTTTAAATATATTTTTGTGTATAATTTTTGAGATATGGCTTCCATGTGTACTCCTGGGTGTCCGTGTAGATAATTTCTTAAATACGTTGCCCCTCGGTCCGAAAAATATTAAAATCGATGTGTAACTTGTTAGTTATTACAATTACCAACACAGTGCACTGAAATTCGTATCAGTTCCAACGGTGTTGTCGATACTCTGACTCACATGTTGGTGAACATACTAGGCATGAGCTGATGCTTACAAAGGAGCAACAACGTTCTTTGTCTTTCATATTACTCACAGAAAGATATAATAATTTGGCAGTTTTCTAATCAGAGACTATTTGATCAACAGAATGGCAAAAGTATAACTCACTGGCAAAACGGCCTCAAGGTATAACTATATAATCAATAGGGAAAAGTTTCGTGTGGGTCAATCGATTTTAGCGCGCAATAATCTTACTTCATAGATGTTACCATAGCATCGAGTGAATCAATTTGTGCAATGTACACATACACAAGCAAATGTTAATATGAGCAGAAATTTTTCAATTTAATCTAAATAAGAATTGTAGCATACTCTCCGGACTTGTTGAATCGTTTCTAACGGACGTGTCTGTCCAAATGAAGTGAGTGCAGGACATTAAAAATGACAAGTTTCAGCGGCAATACGAATGGAAAACTGCTATGCCTGAAGTTAAAAGATACGGATGGGAAGGCGATAATGGAAAGTTATTATACTATCATTAAATCAAGGAAATCAGAACAACACAAGTACGAGTTTTAGAGGTAAAAAATGGATTAAAATTCGTTCTATTTGGAACAACGGCACTTCTAATCAGCAAATGCTTCCTTTTACATGTAACGGTTTTATTTTCATTGAGCTCGCTTCTACTAATAAATTTAATAAGCTAGAGTCAAGTCAAGAGGTACCAATAAACATCTTTTTCCCAAAATTTCTCAGGTGGTTCTCCTGGCCACATTAGAGTTGGGGAGGTTCGGGTCATTGGTCAATTCGAGCGCACTTAAAAAAGTATTCATTAATAATCACCTGTTTCAATATGAACCTCCCGGGTATACCTAATAACAAAAAGAAGCCCGATGTGAGAGTGAAAGGTTATGCTTTGGCTTATGCACCAGTATATAAGGGACGATTTGCTTTAAATGTTAATCCTACAAAGCGAGCAGGAATAAATGAACGTTCAATGAGCGACGGATCAATTTTGATTGGAACTTAACCAATGAAGTAGGTGGCTTAATACAGCTATCTGACAAGTTTTCGTAGCAAATTCTGTCAAGCATCTGAACATCATTGAATTTCTTCTTTAATTGTCACAACAATTGAACTTTTCCGTACAAAGTATTTTTACTTTGATGCCTCCAATGGAATCCATTGTATCCCAGTGAGTCAGTGGAAATAATATATGCTGTTTTCATGTTAAACTATGGCTTTGGACAGATCTTATACCAGACATATTGTCGTGTTTACTTGTGAGAGATATTGGATTTACTATGCAAAGTCACCCCGATTCTTTGTTTCACAATTTATTTTCCTTCTCAAACTGAAAAAGCCTACTGCTGGACGCTCTAGAAACAGTATTAATCATCCTCCCGTGAGGACTGCATTTAGGATGACGGCTTTCATATTTTATGTGATCGAAACATAAACATACATAACAGAAGTTGGATGAGCGTAGATTGGTAACAAATTGTAAAAAAACGATAAAATACATAAATGATCAGAATCGTTTGGTTACTTCTCATCCCGAAACATTTCGCAGTATTTTAGTTGTTTTGACCTTTTTGTTTTGATTGTTAGTCTGTTGTTCAGAGTGGTTGCAGGCAATGCCAATAAGCATTTGCACAGCTAGTCTGGCTTCGAGATTCCCTCGTTTAGTATCAAACACTTCTAATGAGAAAAATAGCTTTCGAACATGATGTCCCATCTACAGTGAAATCCAATAGCCCACTGGCCACATTGATCTTTCCTACAGTTTATTTGTGCTGTGATCTCCCCCAAGGACAGATTCGTCAGGGGCACGCGATAATTGAACGTTTTTGGTAGGGTTGTGAAATTTCTATTGGTCAAATATAAAAAGAAACTGTATGAAAAAATTAAATACATGATATTATCCGTATTTCTAATTTACATGTTTATTTATCAATAAAAGGCTCTTTAAGACACTTCTTTATAATCATTGTTAAAATTATATTGATTCATGCTGTTGAGCTCCTCTGAAAAACGTTACAATGAAATTATTTTTTTAAATCTCCACACTGTTCATTTGGCGCTCTTGTGAGAAATATGCCTTTTTATGACACGTCTGTCGCTTCTTTGATTTTACCAACACAAGAAGATATAATTAGTTAATAATCCATAGGTGTTCCGGATCATTTCGATTGTCACCGTTGTCACCGAAATCTTGTGTTTTGGTACTCACGTTGTGGCTAAAACAAACCTGATTCTATTGTTACAAGAAGATATATGTAGGCATCAGTTGGCCATCAACTTCACGTGCTCCTATTCAGCTGTACCCTAATGTCCCTCCTTACTCATTTCTCATAATAACCGTCTATACGACCACGATGAGAAAAACCACGATAACAACAACAACAACAACAACAATAGAATAAGTCCTCTGTTTTCGATTTCTGATAAATGTGAATACAAGCACACATGCACATACGAGGAGATTTTGCCCCAAACTATACCTCCAACGTCCACCGGCTGAGTCTAATCTCTGCTCCACACAACCGCATGTCTAGTCTGAATATACACAATCAGTTGCAACTGCATAAACAGTTATAAAATGATCCACTGTTCTCCATTGAACAAGGATGTATGATAGAGGTGTATGAGAATATAATTATTTTCAGTATCTAGGGGAAATTTAGAATGTTTGTTTGGATAGACAGAAAACTCTAGTGTGCACCTAAAATATTTAATCCACTGATCCGTTCTTTTCATTCGGGGATTATAGATGTTCAAGATAGAGAATAATAGAATGACTAGTTGTATCCTTTAACGTATTCGATTTAAGGTGAAGTTGTCTAGTTTAGTAGGTTTTTATATAATCCAAGATATGTATATAAGCCCTATTGGTACTGACGCTGTTTTGATTTCAAACTAGGTGAGACAAAAGAAAATTAGTGTAAAATAATTATTGGTTCCTTGGAAATGCAGCTCAGTCAAAATTGCCTAGTAGGATTTTTACCCTACCTTTCGCTCTCTGTTGTTGATGCATGCTGTTCGAAAAATGTTGAGTAGTTACTGTAGTTACTGTGAGTGATCATGCATACTGTACTCATTATTATTTTCTCTTTGTGAAGTTAGTCAAAGTATTCTGTAAAGATCCTATGGGCATGATAAACTTTAGCTTTGTTAAATCGTCAATAATAAAACTTTGACTTTGACTATGATCCTACTCCGAAAATGCAGTAAAGCTCACATCATTTCTTTTACAGCCTCAATATTTCATCCATTTCCAAATAGGCTCATTCTAACGGCACCCTAAAAGGGTTTCTAGAGGGTTTTATTCCGAAATGATGCCGGTCAATCTAGTAGTGACTTCTTATTTCAGTAAAGGAACCGGTAATCTTGCGAACGAGTGTAACACATCGATTTATTGTTTAAAAGAAAACGGAATTCTGAATGAAAAGTTTCAGTCTGATAAATGGCGGTTTAAGCACCAACCAAAATAAAAGTTCCTTGCGATCAAAGTGTAGCTTACACCCCAAATGAGCACCGTCAAATGCTCCGGAGTTGAGATGTCAGTTCTTTCACACATCCCGCCCCTGGTAGATAAAACATCAGGGTCGTCCAAAGTAAGCAGTCTATAACTGAAGATAATTGTGTTCCGGTGGTCATTCCATGTGACGCAACTTTCGGCCCACTCAGAGCACTCATAAATGTCGATTGTCGCCACTCAAAGGGCTCAATCAGATTTCGGTACAGGATTTGTGAAATGCATAGTATTTGTTGCAATCCAGTAGCCGACACTTTCAGGCCTAAGAAGGCCTGCGGTTTTTTTGGACCGATGCAATGATTTGA